AGACTATTTTATAAATACTAATCCAAAAATATTTTATTTATTATTAACTTGCATAATGATTGCTTAACTAGTAAATCATTCTTAATTAAAGGTTAGACTATAGAAAATGAATAGAATCTAATTAAAATACAAGGACTATTCAATATTGCAAAATTAAATGATTGTACTAGAAAAATTAAGAATTACTTACTTCTCATATGCAATATTTAGAATAGTAATTAAATTAAAATTCTGATAAACATATAATTAAAAAAAAACAACAATTAAAATAATTCAAAAAGATTCTTTTTGAATGTATTTTGACTTTAATTAGATTTAATTTACAAATTAGCTGGCTTACTAAGTCGGCCTTAGAGCTTTTTCAGTCTTTAATTGAATGTTTGCTTCGATAGTCTTACTTATTCATTATTTAAGATTTAATAAATTAGTATCTTGACTTCTAATTTTTTTTTATCTTATTTTCATCAATATTTTTTTTGTAAACAAAATTTAATAAGAAATTAAAAAGGAAGCAAACTAAAATTTTAATCATTAATAAGGATATTTCATTAATAAAATTATTATTAATAAAATAAAAAATTTTTTTTTTAATTAAATGAATAAAAACTCAAGCCATTTGTATGGTTTATGTGTGTTTTTGAATTTCATGTTATCAAAAATTTATCTCTAGTCTGTCTAATTTTATGCTGGAATATTCATAATTATTATTCTTTAAGTAGAAACTTTGACTACAGCAATTACTAATATTTGTTTGTTTAAAATCAATAATTCAATAATCTATATGCTCTTTTTTATACATGTTAACAAGAAGAAAAAAAAAAATAGCATAATAATAAAAATGATTCCAAATTAATAATTAAAAATAATTAACTTAGTTAAATTAAAATTTAATGCAAATAATTATATTTTCATTTTATATAACAAGTTTAAGAATTTAAATCAAGTTTAGTCAGTTATATTATTAGGCAAGTTTTTATTTTAGAATCTATAACAGTTTTAACAATAATTTTCAATTTCTCTAAATTCAAGAACTATTTTTTATTGATTATTATACATAATGAAGTTCTTACTAATATTTCATGATTTGTTGAAATTAAAAGACCAGAATCATAAGATTTTACAGCTTTGCGATTTCTTTAAGCCGATTTAAATAGAAAAATACAATTTCTAAAACTCATAATAACATTAGAAACTTACTATTATAATATTTTTGATTGTTTGAATTTATTTTGATGGATTTATCCTCAAATTGTATTTATGCTTTAAATTTTGTCTGTGTAAGATAAGGAGGAGAGCAAAACAAGAGTTTACTTAAAAATAAATTAATAAATATTACCTTCGGAAAAGAGCTATTGTAATTTAAGGAAATTTTAAATTATAATGCTATTCTTTGTATTTTATCTAAATGTTCCATTTATTCCATTGTTTTATCATTTTATAAACGGATAAAATTATTGCTATAAGATGCTGAGGTACATGAACTATGATCCTCCAATGAAGCTATTTTTTATCTTGTCTTAAATACTATATATTGTAGAATCTATGAATAATAAAATAAAACTCCTCTAAATCTTAAATGTTAGCATCATTAATTACTTAATTTTTTAACACTCACTCCTTTTTAAGAAATTATACATTATTCTCCTCAAAGCGAAGATTTAATTTAAAATTATATTAAATTTATTATTTATCAATTGTTATGATTATTTGAAAGGTTTTTATTCTGATTAATTCTAATGAATTGTAGAAGGAAATGATATCTATTTTTTTTAATGTTTAAAAAGTTCTAGATTACCGAGATAATAATATAATTAATAACCAAATAGAGGAAATTTGTTTGATATTTAATAAAAGTATTTTTCAATAAAAAACGTAAGAGGGGCGTAATATATCAAAAATTATTAAGAGTTTAAGGATAACAGGTTATGTTTAAACAAGAACTAAGTATCAGAAAAAGTCATTGTTATAATAGATTTGATATGTGAGCATTAAAATTTATTTTGAATTAGATTCAGAAAGGAATAATTGATTCAAATGCAATTTGCTAACTGTCAAAGTTTGGGATTAATATTGAATTAAATGTTATTGAATTTTAAAAAATCCAAGTTCTACTTACAGCTATAAATGATAGCTTTATTTAGAGTAAATCAAATTCGATTCAACTATTGATAACTAAATATTGTTCTAACTAATTAATTTTTTGAAAATATTAAGGTTAAGATTACTTCTTTAATGAGAAGTAGTTTATTAAGATGCTATTTGAGTGGATCTGAATTATATTAGTGGAATGAATTTAAATGTGATTTAATTATTTAGATGCAAATGGATAAACTTAAAATGCATGAATTGAATTATTGGAAGGTAACACTGATACAGTTAGGTCGGTCTGTGTTTCTACTAATGGTATTACGCTAGTATTTGATAGTTCAGATAAAGAGATTTTTATGGGCTTAAAAGATGTGTGATGACTATATTTTTAAAAATATTATATGTGCTTTAGTGTAAAAGAATAGTTAACTGTAAAGATCTTAAAATATGAATTGATTATATTAAAACAGAGATTTCTTGAAGGAATGAAAAAATTAGGATAAAATAATATTTATTTTTCTTATATAGATTAATATGATATAAGATTTTAAAAAAAGGGAAAATATTATTATGATAAGTGTAATAAAAAAAAGTTAAGTAAAAAATTAGATTTATATTTAATAAATTAAGAGCTATTTGTAATCTACAAAAATATCTATGAAATATATTAATTTAAGAAAGAACTTTTACTTACTATTTTTGCATTTATTTCTTATCTTAAAAAGTATTAATAGTGGTTCTTAATAGTTACAATTATCTAAAAATAGAAGTTGAATTGAATGATCGTTATGTAAATTATTTTATGACAAGGAGATAAAATATTAGTTCACACATGAATAGATAAAAGAAAATTTTACTCAAAAAAAGAAATTAAGAGGGTAAATGACTTGGTTAAAAATGGAGAAAGTTGTTTGGCATAATGATAAATAATTGCTGTCAGAACATTTATAGACATGAGATTGTAAAGTATGCCTACTATTATTAATAATAGAAGGAATCTCATCTATAGTCAACTTTTTCTAAATATTTTTTAGGGACTGCAATCTCGCTATGCAGTTTGAGTAGTTCAAGCAAATCCTTACAATGATGATAAAATTATTGATACAGGTAAAATAATATTGGCTAACAATGGAATTTGTTGTCTAGTGAAAATTTAGAAGTAATTGAATAATAAACCATCACTTTAGCTAAGCTATTACGTGTTAATTTTATTATTACTTATACTATTTATATTTTTATTTGATTGTAAAATTAACATTTAGTATAAATAATCCTTATAAAATTGTAAAAGTATATTAATATGACAGTAATAATTGTTATTTAATATCTTTCTTTAAAATTTTAATTGCTGAATATACAGATTTTTAGTATCCATATTATAAGAAATACTTAAGTCTTATAAATAAGGAAAATTTCTTGGCCTTTAATTTATATTTCATACCGAGATTTAATTTATAAATTTATTATGTTGGTTTAGTTTTGATTATAAACATAAATATCTAAAAACTTTGAGTCTTTCTTTTGCAACCACATTAATTAAGTATTTAAATGGTTTTCATGAAAATAGAAAATGAATATTCATATTCATTATACAATTTAATGAAAGTTCATAAAAATTAGTCTAAAGCTTAATATATTATTCAGTTCTTAATATTAAAATGGGAAATTAATTATAATAATACCATCAGCTTATTTTTGAATTAGATGAATCATGCACATTTAAGATGAGTTATCCATGCAGTGCCTTAGCTATTAATAAGAATGGCTCTTTAATATTGACAAATATATTTTCAATAATATTGTTGATTGGCTTTAATGGAAAATCTTGTAAATATATTTCTGAGGTTTAAAAACATAAAAATGCAATTAGCATACTAAAATTTTTAAAATTAAGGTAGCAATTTATATCAGCGTCCAGCGATTCAATCATAATATGGGCTTTAAATCATAACTACGGAACAAGAAATAAATTTATTTAAAAATTGTAAGGCCATAAAGATTTGATAACTAGTTTAGAAATTCATCATTTGAATGAAGATTTAATGGTATCAGGGGACTATGATAAAAGGATTAAGATTTGGTCAATGGAAAATATATATGGCAAGCAAAACTCAACATAATAATGGAAATGCATTCATGAGATCAGAGAACTAAAAAGTCAAGTACTCAGCTTATCAATAAATAATACAGGAAATCAAATTATTGCTTGTGATAGAGATTCATTTATTTTGGTTATAGAAAAGAGTAAATATGAAAACACATGGTTTCTTAAACAAAAAATAGATGTAGATTAGCTTGAAGGTTCAGGAGTTAATTTTATTAAAGAAGATAAATTTATATTTTAATCGAATAGAAATAACACTCTTGATTTATATCAATTAAAACAAGAAGGAAAATACATTAAAGATGATTAACTTTAGCTAGGAAATTCTAAACAAAACTAGATGAGATAAACTTCAATATTCAATCTAGAATAGTAAATTTTGACTATTAAAAAAGGAAATAAACTCTTTATTATAAGATTTGAGGAGAATAATGAAACTAAAAAGAGGAATGGGAATAATAAAAAATTTGAAATAAAATATCTCTAAAAAATCGTTTTTAAAACCATTTTTTTTCATAGGGCAATAACTGATGATGGCAAATATTTGATAATCAAGGAAGGGGTATCTAAATCCATTTAAATATGGAAACTTAAAAAAGGTTTAGAAAATTGAAATATAAAAAATTATCATTTTATTCTAATTTTCCCCAAAATCCTGATTTTTGGGAATTAACGTTGTATATATATGACCAAAAATGAATAGTTAAGAATAAGAAGATTTTTTTATTTTTTCTTTGGAAAATATAAATTATCTATATCATGATTTTTGTATTTTATGAATTTCTGTTAAAATCAAACCCTTGAAGTTGATTTTTCTTATTCTTAATATCCCATAAATTGTAATTATGAAGCATAATAATTTTAATTTAATCTCTTCAATTTATAACAACTTTTTGTGATTCTCACCAAACTATTTAAAAATAGGTAGTAAATTGCAGATCAGTAAATTTCCAAAAACTCGAATTTCATAATATATTATAAAAAAAAATTCGAAAATTAAATACAGCTTTGAAATAATAGTTTTTTTTTTCTTAATTCTT